AAGATTTTGCTGTTGAAAATAACAATGAATGTTTATGTATAACTGAAACTTGGCTAAAGTCAAATGAATCAAATGATCAACTTATTGTAAATGAAAAAACACCAACAGGCTATTTATTCCAGCATGTTGCTAGAAAAGGCAGAGGAGGTGGTGTTGGTCTGTTGTATAGGAAGTCTTTGAGAATGTAGAAAATTTCTTTTAATAACTTTAAATCTTTTGAAGTCATTGGGAGTGACTGTACAATCTTCTCCCGAATACATTTCTATTTTTGTTGTATATAGACCTCCTCCTTCCATTGGCAACAATTTCAATAATTAAATTTTTTTGAGGAGTTTTCTCCTTTTTTGGAACAATTTTCAACAGACTCAGGCTCACTTCTTTTAGTTGGGGATTTTAATTTTCATGTGGAGGACAATTCTAAAGTAGCTGAGTAGCTGCTCTTCAGTTGTCAGGCAGGCTGCATATCAAGGAAATCATATTTTTCGATCCTCTGATTACCAGGGCTGATGAACACATCATAGACCATGTCTCTGTTTTTGATCCAGCTATTTCAGACCATTCTCCTGTGTTTTATTTATTTTTTGGATCTTTTAATAAAGAAGCCACCATTTGAAAAAAATCGTTTCTAAATGCCGCAAATTAAAAGCTATTAATCTTGATTGTTTTTCAAATGAAGTCGCTGAGTCACTTTTGATTACCTCTCCTAAGACTGATCTTGTTGTGCTACTTCATCGATATGAGTCTGTACTCAATAGTGTACTAGACCACCATGCACCATCCAAAGAGCGTATAATAAGTATCTAAAGAGCTTGGAGGAAATCTTGTCTGACTATAGACCGTCAGTTGTATGTGGATCAGTGTAATGTGGTTAGAGCTCTTATTAAAACAACTAAAAATGAATTTTATTCCAACATCATCTCCGAACATCAGTCTAATCAGAAAGTTTTTTTTTCCACGTTTGAGAAATTGACAAATAAGAAAGCTGTTCCTCTCCTGATGAACTTTTTTTTTCCTGGTGAACTTGCTAATTCTTTTGCCGACTTTTTCGAGAACAAGATAAAGGTTATCCAGGCTGGTTTCGACGATGCTTGTGTTTATGATAGTAATGTGAATGAAGGATTAGCACTTGACAAGTATTTAACATCTTTGAGGGAAATCTCATCAAATGATCTTTCAATACTCATCCTTCCCTTAGTGGCTAAGTAATGTTATCTTGACCCTGTGCCACAGGTATGCTTTTAAAAAACTGCTTTGAGGTACTTCTTCCGGCTTTGACAAATATTGTAAATCTTTCAATATCTACGGCTTCTGCGCCATCGAACTTAAAAGAGGCTTTTATAAGACCAGTTCTAAAGGAGCAAAACATGTCACCAGAGGAGTTCTCTAGTTTCATTCCTGTTTCAAACTTGAGGTTTATCTCAAATGTTATTGAGAAAGTTGTTGCTGCTCAGCTGATAAAGTATCTTGATAATAATGACTCATATGAAATTTTCCAATCTGCCTACAAAAAAACACCATAGTTTTGAGACTGCTTTGTTAAGGGTGCATAATGATATACTTAAAGCAATTGATGAGAAGCGTTCTGTTATTCTTGTATTGCTGGATCTCTCTGCAGCTTTTGATACTGTTAATCATGACATTTTGTTGGAAAGGATGCATTACAGGTTCGGTGTGAGTGGATGTGCTCTCAGGTGGTTTAAGTCTTACCTAAGTGATGGGCGTTTTCGGGTCAGTGTCAAGGGTGGCGTATCCACAGGCCGTTCTTCAAATGTGGTGTCCCACAGTTTCTGTATTGGGACCTATCTTGTTCTTGATATACACGTCGCCTATTGGGGATATTTTGCGCAAACTTGACATTAAGTTTCACTTATATGCTGATGATACTCAGTTATAAATTACATTTGAAACTTCCTCAATGACTGAACTCGAGGCTGCCACACACAAACTTGAATCTTGTGTAGGTGAAGTTGATGAAGGGTTGACCAGAAACAAGTTAAAATTGAATGCTGATAAGACCGAGATTCTTGTCGTGCCGGCGGCTGCTCATCGTCCTAGTCCACCTATTAATTTACTTAATATGTTTTCTGACTTTGATATCTCTCCGTCTTCAATTGTTCGTGACATTGGAGTTATTCTTATGGAAAACCATATCACCTCCATTTGCAAGTCATGTTTCTTTCATATTAAAAATATATGGAAAATTCGTAAATATATCAAGCATGCGAAACTCTTGTCCATGCCCTTATATCTTCCAGACTTGATTTTTGCAATTCTTTGTTGCATGGTTTGCCAAAATCTTTACTGCAAAAACTTCAGCATGTTCAGAATGCAGCTGCACGACTCGTGTCTTGTCGTCACAAACATGATCATATCACTCCAATTCTTTTTCGCTTGCACTGGTTGCCTGTTGAGCAGCGCATTGAATTTAAAATACTGTTGTCAGCCTTCAAGGCTCTGAATAATGCTCCTTCTCTCTACCTTCGTGAACTTGTTAAGCCATGCGTCCCAGCTCGCTCCCTGAGATCAGCATCATCAAATATTTTAACCAAAGGTTCCTTCAGGCTTAAAACATATGGGAAAAGAGCTTTCTCGAATGCTGCTCCTGAGATACGGAACAGACTCCCGCCAAATGTTAGGTCTTCTGTATCAATTAGCAGTTTCAAGCGGGAGCTTAAAACCTGGCTATTTAAATAAACGTACAATTTATCTTAACCAGTAATTAGTCTAATGTTGTTATGAGTTTAAATTTTTATAATATATAAATGCAATTTTTATAAAAACAAGTTCTTAACAATGCAATTTCAAAGTACAACTGAGCAAAAAAAAAATTTTTTCTTATATGAATG